TTGCTGCTGCTAGGTCTCCACACACCTTTATGAGTCTCTAAACTTCCAGAGAGCGGGAGCTTCATTGGGAGTGTATGTGGGTGGGGGCTGGCCATGCCCTTGGTCACCATGGTAATGAGGGGTACATAAAAAAAAAAAAAAAATCATACCTTTCTTTCCGCCTAGTAGCAGTTTGCTTCTGTGTCACCAAGAGCTCTCTTGCCTTCACAGTTCAAGATGGCCTCCCTATGCCTGGCTGGCCACCACAGATCACCGGTCTCCTTTTCCCTGTCCCTACCTCCTTGAATTTTTCAGCTACTTCTCCCAGTCAGGACTAATCCATGGCTGGCCAGGGCTGATTCTGCAGGCTTGGAACAGGGTTTACCTATATCCAGGCCCCAGTGTTGGCAGGGACAGCTTCCCCTTCCTCCTCCTTCCCCGACATTTGCAGCTGTGGCAACCAACCACCTCCATGAGACTGGGAGTTCCAGGAGAGTGTGGAAACTTCAATGGGGGCAAGGACCTGCCACATCCCTGGTCACCTGGGGAGTGTGAGGTACAGGAGTCTATATCCTTTCTTTGCTGCATCTCTTCAACTTCCTCTCCTAATAAGCATTCAGTCTGCTTTTCTAGCCTTTCACCTGAAGCTCAGGCTTCCAGGACTATCAACTGCATCTATGTCATTTGGATTGTTAATAGCTTTGTTGTAGAGGGCCTAGGTTACTGCCTAGTTTTTAACTTTCCTAAAGTCACAGCATAGTGCAGCTTAGCCCAGGGCAATGAATTTAACCATGGCACAATACTGCCCCTTTTACTCTAGTGTGTTGCTATTGTTAGATGGCATTGGCACAGCAGTATTGTACACAACAGAGTGAAACACTGCCTGGTTCTGCACCATCCTCACAGTTATTATGCTTGAGAACATTGTTACTGACAATTTGTTAATCCATCTTGTTTCGGGCCTTCCTGTTTTTCACTGACCTTACACTTTACCAAGCCTAATGTACTTCTCCAGGGACTGGTGTCTCCTAAAAACGTCCAAAGTGCAAGAGACGAACTCTTACCATCCTTACTTCTAAGGAACACTGTGGCTATACTTCTCCCAAGACACATTTCTTCTTCTGATGGGCCATGGAACTTCCAATATTTCTAACACCATAATTCAAATGCATTAAATTTTCTATTACATTGCTTATTCATTGTCCAACTTTCACATGCATATGAGACTACTGAAAATACCATCACTTGGGTCAGGTGTACCTTATTTCCTCAAACTGATACCTTTGCTCTTGAACACTTTGAAGAAGTCTTTTGCTGCTTAGATGTCTTCCTTCAATACCATTGGTTTTTGATTACATAATACCTTTTGAAATGACTGAACATTGACCAATTACCTTTGGTGCAGTGAATCTAAGTATTTCATCCACCTCCTTTTGATGTACTTCTTCATCATTCGTATTTTGCCTGTAGAATCTTTCAATATTTCATCATTTGTATGTTGCCTGTAGAATCTTTCAATATTTCAAGTTGAGGCTTGAATTTTTTCTTCAGTTCTTTCAGCTTGAGAAATGCTGAGTATGTTCTGGTCTTTTGGTTTTCTAACTCCAG